ATATATATAATATATATATATATATATATATATATATATATATATATATATATATATATATATATATATATATATATATATATATATATACTAAATATATATATTATTGTTGTATGATTTAGTATTGAATATACTAAACTTTTGATCGTTGTAGAGTGCTCAATATTTTGAAATAATGAGCACTCTACATATCATTTTTGTTATAAAACTGCGAAAGTTGATCTAAAATAAAAATCTTAATTAGTTTGCTAACTTCCACGCCATTATAGACTCCCATGGTAACATCAAACAATCCTGCTTTTTTCTTAATCTAACTTCTATAAAGTTTGCAAACTAGTCGGATTTTTATTTTAAATCAACTTTCGCAGTTTTACAACAAAAATAATTTTGGTTTATATCGAGATGACGGGTTAGCTGTTTTAAGAACAAAAAGGGCCATTAAATGGCACAAATAAATAAAGATGTCGTTCAAGTTTTTAAACGTAACAATCTCAATATCTCTATCAACTGCAATGTTAAAATTGTTAACTACCTTGATTTAACTTTTAATCTTACTAAAAATTCATTCCAACCATACTGCAAGCCGGATAATAAGCTAAGTTATGTGCATGCTGATTTTAACCATCCACCTAACATAACTAATAATCTTCCAAAAAATAACGGGCTAATTTTGTCCGCGAACTCATCAAGTAAATTTATTTTTAATAAATCGACACATCTTTATAAAGACGCACTAAAGCAATCGGGATACACTTATAAGTTGGCATATAGACCAAGCATAAAAAATGTTCCGAAAAAAAACTAAAAACGAAGTATAATCTGATAAAACCCTCCATTTAGTAAAAATGTTACAACCAAAATTGGTCAACGCTTTTTAACCCTAATTGACAAGCATTTTCTTAAAAATCACAACCTACACAAAATACTTAACAGAAACACAATTAAAATAAGCTACTCCTGCATGCGAAACATTAAATCTATCATCAACTCAACAAAAATATTTTATATGGTGATGTAAAGTTACCAGAAAAAGCATGCAATTGCATTAAAAAATCTCTTTGTCCACTTAACAACAATTGCTTGTCTAACAACATCGTTTACCAAGCCACCGTAAGCTCAAATAAACCTCAATACAATATAAGGTACACATTGGGATAAGCAAAACCTCTTTTAAGCTACGTTATGTAAACCATCTAAAATCGTTCAACATAAAAAAGTGCAAGAACAACACTGATTTATCGAAGAAGTATGGGAATTAAAAGATAACAATTTTACATCTTCAATCAAAAGGAATACAATTAAACGCTGTAAATCATACAATCCTGCATCAAAAATTTTTAAGCTTTGTAAAAATGAGAAATTTGAAATATAATTTTCCAAAGGAGATAACCTGCTAAATAAACGAGGCAAAGTAATTTCTAAATTTAGACACAAAAATAAGTTTCTCCTTTTATTGTTTGATAGCGGATAATAGTTCAATTACGTCTTCTTGTACTAAAACGTCAGAACTCATTCTACCGTAGTTTGTAATTTGTAAACGGTTTTTAATTTTTTGATTTTGTACTTCATGGATGATGATTGCCGATAGGCATGAAACTTTAAGTATTATATATATATACATTTTAACGTTGAAAAAAAGTCACCCTCCAAACTGATTTTAATTTTACACATAGGCTGCCTTATCCAAATGCTGCGTCTTGTAACATTGTTAATATAATAATTCAATATAATTAGAAATGTTTGGAGCA